TGTCACCCCAGGCAGGGGGACAGCCCAGGGACCCCCTGGCTGAGAGTGTGTGCCTGGCAGTGCAAACACCAGCTCAGCAGGGGCTTCCACCTGCCCAGGCAGTGCTGGGGCACTCTCTCAGTCTGCAGGGTAAYAGGTTGTACCCTAACAATGTGACCTTAAAATCAGAACCAGAATGAATCCATATACTGTTTAAATTACCAGCTAGTCCTTTCTCTTCTCCTCAGCCAGAGGCAAGGYGAAATCTGTAGAGCCTGGGGCTGATAAAAATGGCCAATTGCCTTTTTCCTGGGACCTTTGCTGCTTCCTGACTCCCTGAGCACAGGGTGAGTCTCTGGGAAAAATGCTGTATACATCAGAGATGGGAGACATCCCAGAGTTGCTCAGCTTTATGAAGTTTTTAATAGCAGTTGTGTACTCAAGAAAAATAATAGGTTGCACACTAATAAACATGACTTCAAAATTGTGACCAGAGAGAATTAATAACATCAATTTTTACTACCATTGTTTAAATCACTCATTGTTTAAATCGATGTTATCTAAACACTCACTGCAGAATGTCCCATATACAGGATATCCTGCTCACTAAATAATGTCAACTGACATTAATATAGACTTATATTATTTTTATTACACATTTTAAATGAGTACTCAATGTGACAAAGGATGGCTGAATCAAGTGCTTAGTGCAGAAAATTTTAAAAGGCTGAATAAAATAGCTTAGTCTTCCACAATTTCCATACACTTTTGTGTCACAGTTTATTGCTACAACTATTATGGAAAATACAACTATTATGGAAAATACAACTAAATTCGTTCTGATAAAAATATTGCAGCTTTGCATCCAAGTTGTATGGCTGTCTTCAAAACAGAATAAGCTGGTGTCTGCAAAGAGAATAAAAGATTAAATACATCTACTGAAGTGTTTCACTTAAACCAGTCTGTGATAAAGAACAGTAAGCGCTATTAAAAAAATCAAAGTAAAAACAGAGCACACAAAGAAAACTCCACCTGTATCTGCAGTCTAATCTATCCTAGAGAAAACTAAAYTTTTATCAACTTTGCAAAATAATTCCTTTTCTATGCAAATGTAAGTTGAAAGAAAAACAGGAGAGAAGTCACACATTCCCCACAGAGTATCCAAGGGAGTATAGAATTTAGTTAAGYATTTCACACTTCCTAACAAGACAATACCATTAGTTCCCAGCTGTATAGCACTTACTAGCCTTATCTTCAAAAATATTTCATCTAAACTCAAATTAAAAGAAAACCTAAAAATTTGCAGAGAACAYTTCTTAGGGAAAGAAAGCCTCACTTTATCACTCGACATGACTTTCAACAGATTCAGTTCAGTTCTAGAAAAAAGRAAGTTATAACATGCAGGACTTTCTTATGTGTTTCTTAGGGAAAGAGTATCAAGAGCCTTATTTTCTGCTTCTCAAAGAACCACATCCCAATCTCTGTGTAAGGAAGGTAGAAGCACATCTACATCTCACTGACAGCATGAACATTCTACTTACAGCTTCTGCATCGTGCTCAATCCCAATGTCGTGGTGCTCCCGCTCATCATCCCGGAATTGCTTTATTACCTTTAAAAAGAGCAATTACTGACTCTACTTTGCAGAGCAAGCAAGGCAGCTATTGCACAAAACCAGATGCTCTRGACCATTGCGTACACCATGGCAAGCCACAGTCTCTCAAAAACCTGAACCTCCAATTCAGCAAGAACAGAATTATTTACAGCATTCCCCTAACCTAAAGTTCTTTTAGTGAGCTCCAAAAACATCTTTAAGTTCAAGCTGCTGTGTTTCACAGTTTAAAAAAATCCTAGTCATAGTAACTTTTAACCCTAGTTTCGCACACCTACATTATTCTGACAATTTGAATAATGGAATTAAGATCCCCGCCTTTCCAATTAGTAAGAGTGTTTCCCTGTAAGCCAACCRGGCTTTTGTCCACTTTAGCACACTCTAATTGTCTCCTAATTTTTCAAATAGGCTTAAAGGATTTTCTCTTGCCTGCAGATAACCAGGACTGCTTAATGAAGTGCTCAGCACTTACAGACACCTAGGCACTGTCCCTGTCCAACAGCTTCATGCTGCTTTTAGTTTCCTCACACTGACTGKGAATAAACTCACGGCGTAGATTTTTCTCTTTATTTTGTGCCATCTCTACCTATTTCATTATATCATTATCTTCAGGGATGCTATTTCCCTTGTGGACCTCTGCACAACTTCAGTTACTTCAGATACTATTTCTGTAACAAAAGGATGCATCTGGAATAATCAGATTTTGCTACATTACACTACACACAACTGAACACACTGTCAGCCAGCAAGACTGGAAATGAACCAGCTCCATGTGCTGCATGTAAAAACAGGCCAATCTCCCAGAAATACCCTACAGGAATGTGTCCARTTTGATGCCTAAAATGCCTAGGAATTTATTTTCTCACAGAGCTGACAAACATCAGTTGCTTAAAAGCTCCAAGCAGCCTCCAGGACTAGAACAGGAGCAGGGTGCTGCTTAGCAGTGGGCTCAGTGTGATCCAAGCAGTCAGGAGCCCAAACCCCACCCTGGGCTGCACCAAACCAGAGCGGGCAGTGKGGCAGGAGAGGGGCTCACCTTGAGCTCAGCCCAAGCACKGGGTGCCACTCTGGGCCCGACAGGTTRAGGAGCATGAGAAGSTACTTGAATGCCCTCACAGGAGGGCAACACAGCTACCATACAATCGTATTTCCTCCTTTTGTCTCCCCTCTAGACCCTTCCTTTCAGCTAAAATTAATCAAACTTAAAGCACAATTCTTCCACTCAAAGAGGAAACGGTGAATTACTGAAAGCATGCTGAAGATAACCCAACAAACGTTTTAATTGTGGTGTTTGATCARTTTAGTCATCATGAAGGAAAAAGCATCGTTTATTTTTAATACTTTCTGTTGACTTCAGCATTCTATGTGACACAACAAAAAGATCTACTGTAAATTTTATGAGCACATTACTTTTAAAAGACTAAATCCCATCAGATGACTCAATTAATTTGTTAAACTACTTTTWAAGTCATAGTTAAATACCTGCAATAGCTCTTTGTAAATTTCTGGATCTTCTTCCACTAGAGTTCGGATCTGGTTGTTGTAGTGCTCCGATATACTCTCTTCCACAGCCACTGTGCAAGCCATTGCACCCTTCTTTCCMAGTAAAGCACTTCCAGCCCCTGTGATTGGGGTACCAGACACACACTACAATGAAATCTGAAGCAATACCAATCATTTCATACAACTGAAGCCTTCACAGAACAACAACAATAGTAATTATACAAACTCACCTAAAACAAARCCAGCTACATTCCAGAAAGGCAATAAAACAGTTGGTCGAACTCTATATGCAACCATAAGTTCACTGAACTTCTTCAGGTGGTCTTTTTCTTGATTCCACATTTGCTGCAAAAGCGCCAGATCACAGTGAAGCATAAAACCACAAGAGGTAAAATTGCCAATAAAACTAAGAAACAGCTGAGGCCACACCTGCTGTGAYAGCTGATGCAATAACACTACAACATCACAGAGGAGAAAGGCAGATGCAGGTCGTTATATGAAAAGGGCAGATGAGAATAGTTACAAGAAGGCAACATAAAAATGTTTGCAAAACAGGACAACACCACAGATACTGCAGCACTGGTAATTCCCTCGCCAGGTAATCCCACAGCTCTTTAAAAACCCACGCGTTTGCAAGTGCTTAGAAAAACACGGACAATGGTGCCATGAAGGCTATGCTCGTTGCCTGTCACCCGGCCGCTGTCAATGAAACGCAAATGAAGCAGAAGCAGCGGGATGGGATGGCTCACCTGGATGACGGGTCCCACACTCGATCTGCCCAGCACGGCCATCTGCCCCGCGTAGATGCGGTTGGCCCCGAACTCGCCGGCATGGTCCACGCGGATGATGCGCTCTAGGACGGGCTTGTTGATGCCCTCCTGAGGCACCCGCGTCCCGCACAACCTGAGGGCGGCCCCTCGGGCGGGCRGAGGCCGCGCACCTGGCGGAGAGACAGAGGTGACGCTTTCAGCTCCGTCACCGCCCGCGGAGCCGGACGGGCTGAGGCGGCCCCGGGGGCGGCGCGGGGGCTGAGGAGCGGGCAGGGAGCGGAGCCGAGCCCGTACCCGTACCCGTACCCGTACCCGGCCCGCAGCGGAGGGGCCGCCGCTGCAACACCGAGCACGGCCCAGCCCGAGCCGC